AGTCAGAGCTATTTCTTATATTTCCTTCCTCTCTATGCTTTCCCCCTGTACCTTGTGTGTGTAAGTGTCTCAGTGGGGGAGTCGCTTTTTGTGACCCCATAGACTGTAGCCTGCCAGGCTCCTCCGTCCGTGGGATTTTCCAGGCAAGAATACTGGAGTGAGTTCCCATTTATTTCTCCAGGGGATCTTCCTGACCCAGGGATCGAACCCAGGGCTCCCACATTGCAGGCACACTCTTACCATCTGAGCTACCAGGGAAGCCCTAACCTATGCTCAATACATGTTTGTGATTATTAGTGATGAACACTGTAGATGAGGAAAGAAGGGAGAATGGTATGTAGGAAGAAACCTAGTCTGGGAGTTAGGTTTTTTTGTTTCTAAGCCAAGAAACACCTGTAGTAACAGGCAAATTTGGCTTTGGAGTACAGAATGAAGCAGGGCAAAGGATAACAGAGTTCTGCCAAGAGAACGCACTGGTCATAGCAAACACCCTCTTCCAACAACACAAGAGAAGACTCTACACATGGATATCACCAGATGGTCAACACCAAAATCAGATTGATTATATCCTTTGCAGCCAAAGATGGAGAGGCACTATACAGTCAGCAAAAACAAGACCGGGAGCAGACTGTGGCTCAGATCATAAGCTACTTATTGCCAAATTCAGACTTAAATTGAATAAAGTGGAGAAAACCACTAGACCATTCAGGTATGACCTAAATCAAATCCCTTATGACTATACAGTGGAAATGAGAAATAGATTTAAGGGAATAGATCTGATAGACAGAGTGCCTGATGAACTATGGACAGAGGTTCGTGACATTGTACAGGAGACAGGGAGCAAGACCATCCCCAAGAAAAAGAAATGCAAAAAAGCAAAATGGCTGTCTGAGGAGGCCTTACAAATAGCTGTGAAAAGAAGAGAAGCGAAAAGCAAAGGAGAAAAGGAAAAATATACCCATTTGAATGCAGAGTTCCAAAGAATAGCAAGGAGAGACAAGAAAACCTTCCTCAGTGATCAATGCAAAGAAATAGAGGAAAACAACAGGATGGGAAAGACTAGAGATCTCTTCAAGAAAATTAGAGATACCAAGGGAACATTTCATGCAAAGATGGGCTCAATAAAGGACAGAAATGGTATGGACCTAACAGAAGCAGAAGATACTAAGAAGAGGTGGCAAGAATACACAGAAGAACTGTACAAAAAGATCTTCACAACCCAGATAATCATAAAGGTGTGATCACTCACACTCACCTAGAGCCGGACATCCTGGAATGTGAAGTCAAGTGGGCCTTAGGAAGCATCACTATGAACAAAGCTAGTGGAGGTGATAGAATTCCAGTTGAGCTATTTCAAACCCTAAAAGATGATGCTGTGAAAGTGCTGCACTCAATATGCCAGCAAATTTGGAAAACTCAGCAGTGGCACAGGACTGGAAAAGGTCAATTTTCATTCCAATCCCAAAGAAAGGTAATGCCAAAGAATGCTCAAACTACCACACGTTGCACTCATCTCACACGCTAGTAAAGTAATGCTCAAAATTCTCCAAGCCAGGCTTCAGCAATACATGAACCGTGAACTTCCAGATGTTCAAGCTGGTTTTAGAAAAGGCAGAGGAACCAGAGATCAAATTGCCAACATCCACTGGATCATCAAAAAAGCAAGAGAGTTCAAGAAAAACATCTATTTCTGCTTTGTTGACTATGCCAAAGCCTTTGACTGTGTGGATCACAATAAATTGTGGAAAATTCTGAAAGAGATGGGAATACCAGACCACCTGACCTGCCTCTTGAGAAACCTATATGCAGCTCAGGAAGCAACAGTTAGAACTGGACATGGAACAACAGACTGGTTCCAAATAGGAAAAGGAGTACATTAAGGCTGTATATTGTCACCCAGCTTATTTAACTTATATGCAGAGTACATCATGAGAAACGCTGGGCTGGAGGAAGCAGAAGCTGAAATCAAAATTGCTGGGAGAAATATCAATAACCTCAGACATGCAGATGACACCACTCTTATGGCAGAAAGTGAAGAAGAACTAAAGAGCCTCTTGATGAAAGTGAAAGAGGAGAGTGAAAAAGTTGGCTTAAAGCTCAACACTCAGAAAACTAAGATCATGGCATCTGGTCCCATCACGTCATGGCAAATAGATGGGGAAACAGTGGCTGACTTTATTTTTCCGGGCTCCAAAATCACTACAGATGGTAATTGCAGCCATGAAATTAAAAGACACTTTTTCTTTGGACGGAAAGTTATGACCAACCTAGACAGCATATTAAAAAGCAGAGACATTACTTTGTCAACAAAGATCCATCTAGTCAAGGCTATGGTTTTTCCAGTACTCATGTGTGGATGTGAGAGTTGGCCTATAAAGAAAGCTGAGCGCCAAAGAATTGATGCTTTTGAACTGTGGTGTTGGAGAGGACTCTTGAGAGTCCCTTGGACAGCAAGGAGAGCCTACCAGTCCATCCCAAAGGAGATCAGTCCTGGGTTTTCATTGGAAGGACTGATGTTGAAGCTGAAACTCTAATACTTTGGCCACCTGATGTGAAGAGCTGACTCATTGGAAAAGACCCTGGTTCTGGGAAAGATTGAGGGCAGGAGGAGAAGGGGATGATAGAGGATGAGATGGTTGGATGGCATCACTGACTCAATGGACATGTGTTTGAGTGGACTATGGGAGTTGGTGATGGACAGGGAGGCCTGGTGTGCTGCAGTCTATGGGGTCGCAGAGTTGGACACGACTCAGCGACTGAACTGAACTGAACTGAGCTGATTTGCCTTTCTTCTTGGTTCCTCAGGATTCTCATTCATAAAGGCATTCAACTGAGTCCGCAAGTTTCCAGCACCATTGCTGTGACTCAGGCTTAGGAGGATGGTCTTATAGGTAGCAGGGGGAAGGTGTTGAGTCCAGTTTGCCATAGTCTGAACTATTCCCTTCTGTTCTACCCTGGCATATTTTATGCAAATTGCCCACCTGGCCTTGTTACAACTCATGACCCTTCTATTTAGATAGTATCTTTGTTGTAAGAGTTGGTTGACTTGTATTTAGATTTGAAACCCAAATGATGGCTGTTGATCGATGTCACCATTGGGGGATACCAACTGAGCATTTTCTTAGTATGTGGTATAAAGTGCAGGGGGAAAGCACAGTATATATCTGCTCCCTGCCTTAAGTTGCCTGCAGGCCAATTGGGGGGACAAGTATGTATATTTTTAAAAGCTCATAAATAACCCCAGTTTGTGCCAAGGCTTTAAGTGCTACTGAAACTCAGGGAGGAGAGAGTGCTGAGGGTTGGGGCAATCTGGGAAGATTTCCTGGAGGTACAGAGATGAGAAGTTCTACTCATTCCTTAAAGATGAGTTCCACTGACTTGTTGGTTCAGAGTCATATGGATATTTAACTGGGATTAGGTGCTGGCGTCACGTCTGCAGTGTCCTGCTTAATCCTTTCAGCTAGCGTTTAGGAAGTAACTTACGTGTCCCAAGCCCTGATCTAGAAAGGTATGTATTTTTTGTTCAATCATCATTTGAACCCAGGGTGGTAGGTATTACTAGATCTCTTACTCAGATGAAGAAACTGGGGCCTGGACTAGTTAAGAATCTTTCTCAAGGCTTCTCAACTAAGAAACGCCAGAGCTGGGCATTAGGCCTGTGTATAGCCTTGGCGAGATACAAGCACGCACTGTACTCATCACTGACTCTCCCTGAGCAGCCGAGTGGGCTTGCCTGGGCCTCCATGTCCAGTTGAGCTCATGTGGACTTTTCCTTGGTGTCTGTTGGCAGTTCTGAGCAGTACCCTCACCCGCTTCTCTCTGCCCTTCACATTGTCCTGTGTTTGACTCTCAGATGTGTTCAGTAGAGCTCCTTGAGCTGTCTGTGGATCTGGGATTGTGAGCCAGGAGCAAAAAAGGGCAGCGACCTTGGCCTCAAGTTCATTTTCTCCATGGGGTGCTCCCACTGGCGATGTGAGTGACTTTTGTAAAGAAGAGAACACTGAATGTGGAGTTCAGTTAGATTATTGCCATTTACTTACTTTGTTTGACCTTGGCCAGCTTCCTTGAGTCTCTCTGCCTCAGTTTCCTTCTCTGTAATAAAAAGGAGTTGGAGGCATTTCCTGAGTCCCTATTGTCTTCAACACTTGATCATTTTGATTGTGTCCTCATCCTTTTTTTTTTGGCTCTGCCACACAGCATGTGGGATCTTAATTCCCAGACCAGGGATCAAACCCACACCCAGTGCAGTGGAAGCACGGTGTATTAACTACTGGACCACCAGGGAAATCCCATCCTCACCCTTCTTTAACCCTCTTCTATGCAGTGATCCAGTCTCCCTCTTCTCATTTTCCTGCCCCTATTTCTTTTCCCCTGGGGTCTTGCCGATAAACTCAGAATCAGGGTGACAATTAGGTCTGTAACTAAAACTGTAACCTTCCCTCCTTACTGCCTCATGGGGAGGGAATTCTTAGAGACCACCCACTCTCTAAACGGTGAGCTCCGACCCAGCAGAGATTTTGTGAGGAGAACTGGGAACTGGAGGAGTGGACAGGGCTTTGAGGCTGTGGGATGGAGGGACAGGTGTCTCTCCTTGCACCTGGCTGCACCCTGCCTCCTTCCCACTGCCCTGCCAGTTCAGTGAGTCACAGGCCAGCACACACCAGAGTCCTCACACCTGCCTGGACACGGGTTGAGGTCTTGGCGAGGTCACACATGTTAACCCTCCTAGGAAGCTGGTAGGGCTGGACTGATGGATGGATCAGGTGCTCTGAAGGCCGAGCTAGATGTCGCCTGGGCTCTGGGCCCCTCAGGAGGAGGTGAGTGGCCTGGGGCCCTCCCTGCAGACTTCCTGCAGCCTGGGTCCTCGGGTAAGGCGGGTCAGGGGTGGGTCCTTGGTTGATTGTGGGTGGGCACTTCATGGACCTGTGTCTTCCCTGGCGCAGGTTCCTTTGTGAGCAGCAGACCAGCCTGGTGGCTGGCGATAGGATACCCGCATCTGCATGCTGAGGAAGATGGGTGAGGCCGTGGCCAGAGTTGCGAGGAAGGTCAACGAGACCGTGGAGAGCGGCTCCGACACCCTGGGTGAGTGAGGGCATGACTTTTCCAGCTGCAGTGCCCCCTCTCCGTGGTTTATTGAATCGGGCTGGAAATGAGATAGAAGGAGAAGGTGAAAGCACAGTATCAGTATGCACCCTTCGGCATAAAGGCCAGTGTTCCATGGACTTTTATTGTAATTGTGTTCAATTTGTATATATGGGGTCCCAGCATAAGACATGTTTCTTGCTATGGGTCATAATCAAAGAGGTTTGGAAAGCGCTGAGTAGGGGTGTCATCTGCTGGGAGCCTGTCTGCTTGCCCTCAGACGATTGACAGCTGCAAATATGTATGTGCCCTTGGACCAGGTGATGGTAGATGACACTCCACGTAGCCCCAGGATGTGCACAGGTGCCTCATGAGCGTGACCTTGCTGAATCTTCACAGCCTCCCCGGGATGGATGTTACCCACCAGGCATGACTAGCCACAGATTTCAGATGAGGAGATGGAGGGTGAAGGCCAAGTGGGCTTTTTCCAGGTCACCCAGCCAGGAGGCCCCTTTTCACTCCACAGTTTTAATTGAATCATGTCATATATTGTTGAACTGGTCATAGCATTTTAGCCCATGTAGCTATCCTAAGGCTGTAAGCACATAGGCAAACCATCCCATTTAATTGAATTCAGTAGATATTTATTGGGGATTCTCTGGTGGCTCAGATGATAAAGAATCTGCCTGTAATGCAGGAGACTTAGGTTTGATCCCTGGGTTGGGAAGATCCCCTGGAGAAGGGAATGGCAATCTACTCCAGGACTCTTGGCTGGAGAATCCCATGGACACAGGAGCCTGGCGGGCTACAGTCCATGGGGTTGCGAAGAGTTGGACACGACTGAGTGACTAACTCATTCACTTTCAGATATTTACTGACTTTCCACCATATATAAGAGTGTGTGTGTGTGGTCTCTGTGTGTGACCTGCTGGGACCTAAGTGCCCCCTTAGAGTCACAGGTGTGTGGCAAGAACACAGAGGAGGTGAGTGCAGACCTGCCCAGGGGATGACTGTACAAGTGGTTGGATTGGGATTTGAGTTGGGCCTTTGGCACACAGAGAGGAATTTCATCAGCAGGTAGGCATGTGTGTTCTTGTGTCTGTCTGTCTGTCTACAGGAGGAGCATTTCCGAGAAAGTTACTGCCTGAGAGATTGGGAAGGTGGAGTGTTTCTGCTAGCAGCCTTTGGTCAGGTGTGTCTGAGGGTCTTAGGGCAGGGGGTGGTGGCCCAGAAAGTAGAGGGATACTCAGCCTTCAAGATATGCTTGGTCACCACCTCTTCCAGGAAGTCCTCAGCCCTGCCTGATCCACCCCTTGCTCCCTTCCTCCTCTGGAGCACTCATTCAGTGTCCCTGGAGGGCAGAGATCCTGTGTCTTTTGTCCCTCACCTGCCAAGAGCCAGAGCAGTGTCCGGCACTTTGTAAGCATATAGTGGTGTTGGCTGAACTGAACAATAGTGAGAGAAACATCTCTGCCAGCAAACAGACTTGAAGATAGCCATTGGCTTTTTAAAAAAATATTCATTTATTATTAAAATTTATTTATTTATTCATTTATTTGGCTGTGCTAGCTCTTAGTTGCTGCACATGGGATCTTCGGTCTTCATTGTGGCATGTGGGATCTAGTTCCCTGACCAGGGGTCAAACCCAGGCCCCCTGCATTGGGAGCATGGAGTCTTAGCCCCTGGACCACAAAACTCAGCTTTTGATTTGGGAGGGAGGCCTGGCGGGGGGCTGTGTGGAGTGGGGGAGGGGAGGGCTTTTGCGTGGGGAGTGAGGGCGCTCAGGAGAGGAACTCTGGAATCCTGTGCTGGTCACTCGCGTGGTTGCGTTTACCTGAGTGCTCAAGGCTCTCCTCCACTGACAGGGTCTGGGTTCGAACCCCCAGGGTGCCACCTACTAACCTGCTCCCTTAGCAGATTGCTTTACCTCTGGGAGTCTTGGTTTCTTCATCTATAAAATGGGGGTGGTAACTGTGCCTCCCTCATCAAGGTGGTAGGAGCAGTTATTAAATGCCAGGCAGCGCTGTCAGCTCTTTACTGGTTTTGACTCATTTAATTCTTACAACTGTAAGCCAGAGGTGATATTAATATCCCCATTTTACAGATGAAGAGACTGGAGCATGGAACTTTTTTATGTAGTGTTTCTAAGTGTTCCTTAGCATTAGGGTATTTACCTTGTCTCCTCTGCTCTATTTCTTTTGAAGTAGGAGACTTCCCTGGTGGTCCAGCGTTTAAGACTCTGCCCTCCAATAAAGGGGGTGCGGGTTCAATTCCTTGTTGGGGAACTAAGATCCCACATGCCAAAAAGGTGAAAAAAAGAAATGAAGTAGGAGCTTCCTCTGTTTAACAGGTGCTGGAGCTGAGGCTGAGGGTGTGAGTGACACAGCTGTTTAGAGGTGGAGCCAGGTTCAGCACAGGTCTGAGCAGCTCAGCCCTGCCTTTCCCATGCACCCCTGCTGCCCCCATTGTGGGGAGGGGGCGGCCAGGAAGACGAGAACTTGGAGACCTGAGTAATCCTCCTCCCTCCTTAGGTTGCCTCTCCTCCCACACCATTTTGGAACCACAGTCAGCCTACCTTGTCCTTTGAAAGGAGGAAAATAATGAGAGTCTAATATCTGCCTGGCCATTTAAGATGTCTTAGGTGGTAAGGAGAAAGGGGCCGCCCTCATAGGCTATATCTGCTTATGTGCAAACCGTGGACCCCACTCTAGAGCTTTCACAGTGGAATCTCAGAAGGTGGGCGTGATGACCTACACGTTAACATGAACTCTGTATGATTCTTCCCTGCCTTGAATTTTGGGAACCACTGGCTTACTATTTACAATCTGGAACTTTCTTTTCCTGGCATGTTATAGGGTACTGGCCAGGGGTTGGAGGTATTATCTGGGTAGGTCTCTAGATATCTGTGTGTGTGTGTGTGTGAGACAGAGAGAATGAATATGAACATGGACTTGACCGTCCCAGGGAACTGAGGGGCTAGGGTGGGTGCTGTGAGATAACCAAGTGGGGAGACCAAGACCCTTCTCCCCCTTCCCCTCCAGCCCTCCCTCCCTCCTCCCAGGCTCACTCACACTTGGGCCACTTTTCTCCTGACTCACCAGTAGATGGCACCGTGTTACCAGCTGACCTGGTGACAGGCAACTGAGCCCAGGACTTGGCCAGGCTGTCGCTGGGTGTGAGCGTCTGGTCCTGACAAGGGCTTCCCCGCCCAGCCAGCTCACATTCTGTGTCTCCAGTCCTAGCTGACTCCGCAGCCATCTGACTTGGCAGCTCCTTTCTTGAGCAAGGGTGCTGAGGAAGTGTCAGGAAGCACTCCGCACATACTCACTGGATCAGAATAACATCTTCCCTTGGATCAGACACTGCCACCGGCTTCTTTGTCAACAGACACACAATGAGCACGTACACTATGTGCCTTCCCCGGAGGACTCAAGTGCCCCAGAAGTGCCCAGTCTAGAGGAGGAGGCAGACGGGCACACACCCCGCGGGAGGGGGGCAGCCAGGGCTTGTGGTGGGAGCAGTCTTTCTTCCCCAAGAGGGGCTTGTGGGTCCACGGTTCCTAGCTTAGGGCCCAGGAGGCGGGTGGTGTTCGTGGGGGAGGGGTGTGTGTTGTGTGTTTTGCTACTGTGTCACCGGGCCTGGGGAGTCCTGAGGGTCAGCTGGGTACAGGTCAGCTCTGAAGGCGTGGAGTGGGGAGCCGGCTTTCAAGGGCAGCCCCCAGCCTGGCCGGGACTGCCTGTCTGTTTATCATGAAGGCTGGAAGCTTCAAACCTGCCATCCTCTACTTCTTGCCTCTCAAGTGGGGAAGCGGGCTGGGGTGGGGTTTGCCAGGGGAGGAAGGGATAACCCCTGCTGCTCTCCCCACTCTGTTTCCTAAGAGGAAAGCATGATGTGAGGGGTGACTCGAAGCCTTCTGCCTAAAACTCCACCTCTAGACTTGATCTCTCTGGATAGGGGGTCCTGGGAGGCTGAGAACTGACCTTGATCCTCCCCTCCCCTTTACACCCCTGAGCAGAGGGATTTTCTCCTCGAGGACTCAGCACTTACTTGAAACGAAGGCTTTATATCCCTCACTGGGTGTTTCTCAGTCTTGGCACTGTAGACTCTGGGGGCTGGATGAGTCTTGGTGGGGGGCTGTCCCGTGTATTGTAGGGCGTTCTGCAGCTTTTCTGGTCTCTCCCCACTGTATGCTCATAGTCCCCTCTGCTACTCTCCCTCCAAGTTGTGACAACCATGTCTCCAGGCCCTACCAAGTGTCCCCTGGCAGCAGAACTCCCCACCACTGAGAACCACTCCTCTAGAAGATCATGCCTATAAGTTGTTGAGGCTGATGGCCCGTACAGTCAGCTCTGCTGTGGCAGGACTGGAGCCAAGTGGAGTGTGGTCGGTGAGCTGAGAAGAAGATGGGAGCTCTGTTTTGTGGAAAGGTCTCTGATCCAGAAATCAGGAAGCTGGGGTTCTGGATATCACCTAACCCCAACTATGGGTCAGTTTCCTGTCTGTAAAGGTGAGGCTCCAGCTCTGAGCTTTTTTAATTCTCTCTCTTTTAAACCCTCATTGGCTTCCATCTGCACAGAGAGTAAAACCCAGGCTGGTACTGCAAACCTGGGAGTGACTGACACCTGCCAATTTCTCCCACTGCACTTTGGGCCCCTCAGGGCTTCTCTCATTATATCCAGCCAGATTGGCCACCTTTCAGTTCCTTGGACTGCTAAACTCCTTCCAGCCTCAGGGTCTTTGCACATGATGTTTTCTTTGCTGGGATGCTGTTCCTTGTTCTTCATGGCTGGGCCCTTCTCATACCTTAAGTTTCAAACTAAGTGTTTCTTGTTCAAAGAGGTCTACCTGGCTTTCTTTTTAAGTGACCTTCACCCAATCATTTTTCTTAAAAAAAAAAAAAAAAGGCTGTGAAAAGGTATACACAAGTAGCAAAGTTCATAAGATCATATATGCTTAGTTCAGCAGACATTTATAAATGAAAACGCGTGTAACTACCACCC